GAAAACAAACAATAACGCCTTTCAAAACACAACTTCTAAGGCTTTCGTTTCATTTCAAAACGAGTTACCTAACCTAACATCCACGTACTCAGGACTTACTGGGGGCCAAGCTCTGTGGTAAGTGCTTCGCCCTTTAACCCTCAAAGTGTCCATCTTGTGGGCAGAATCTTTATTTCCAGTTTATGATGAGAAACCCAAGGCACAGAGAGGTTATGGGATTAGCCTGGGTCTCACCATCCCTAAATTGGCAGGGCCAGGTTTTGCATCTCTCTGATCTGCCAGATAACAAGCCGAGGCCGAGGACCCCAGCATCCAGATAACAAGCCGAGGCCGAGGACCCCAGCATCCAGATAACAAGCCAAGGCCGAGGACCCCAGCATCTTGTGTTTCTTCCCAGCTGACAAGAGTTTATCTGGCTCGACACTTTGTACTTTGCATTATAAAATCATAATTTCTAATTTGTTCAAAGTCAATGATAATAGAAAATACAGACTTGACCCCTCTACCCACTGTGTGTGTGTGTGTTTGTGTGCATATGCATGTGTGTGTCTATGCCAGAGTCAACTTTGGGTGGCATAACTTAGGAATGGACCACTTTGTTGTTTAGAGATGGGGTTTCTAGCCGGGGCTGAGACTTGCTAACTAGGCTGACACACTGGCCAGCAAGCTCCAGGGAGTGTTCTGTCTCATCTCCCCAGGACTGGATTACAAGTGTGTGCCGCCATGCCCATCTTTTTTTACACGGGCTCTAGAGATCCAATGGGCTCTCATCCCTGTGCAGAACTTAAACCTGAGGTCTTAGAATCTGATTCCAGTTGCTGGTTTCAGTCGCCCCGCTCCCTTGAGCCTGACCTGTAATGGCTTCAGGCAGCAGAACTATGTGTATGCACAAAATGACTTAATGCTTGTACAGGGCCTATGCGGCCAGCACTTGGCCCGCCCCATTCTGCAAGTGGGAAAATGAAGTGTGGAGAAAGAGTCACTCATCTGAGTCCACAGTGTTGAGAAGTGTCAGGACCAAGCAAGGCTGGGACCCAGGACAGCTGAAGTTGAAGCTCCTATTTTATTGTTGCCTTGTGAGTGTGTGTGTGTGTGTGTGTGTGTGTGTGTGCACGTGCGCGCGCGCGCTGAGGATCAAACCTAGAGTCTTACATATGCTAGGCAAGTGTTTTACCATGGAGCGACATATACCCAGTTCCCTAAGTGAATTTCTCTCTCTCTCTCTCTCTCTTTCAAATTATAAACCACAAACCGTTTTCAAAGGCACAGTTTAGTGTACCCAAGCACACTTCTGTCATTGTGCGGCTTACACTGCTGTCCATTTCCAGACTCTTTCACCCCCACTAACACAAGGGAGTCTGCACCATGAAGCCCAGCCCCTTCCATCCCCAGACCTCTCCTTGAGGGCCTCCGCCTATATGTGGGCTCACACAGTGTCTACTCTTTTGCCATCACAGCCTCTGCTTTAAAAAATCAAGTTCTCATTTCAAACCCAACACATGGGCCTGGAGAGGCGGCTCAGAGGACTAAATGCTTCCTGCACAAGCATGGGGATCCAAGTTCACATCCCCAGCATCCATGAAGAAAATCTGGCCTGGAGCTGGCTAACTAGACCAGGCTGGCTTCAGACTCACAGAGATCCTCCTGCCTCTGCTTTCTGAGTGCTGGGATTAAAGGTGCGTGCCACCACTGCCTAAGGCTGCTTCCTCTGTTTGTATTTCCTTTATCTCTCTGTCTCCGGAAGAACTTCCTTCAAAACCTACCCCAGAGATTTCCTTCTTTGTGTCCTTCCTTGAAGCGCTGTCACCAGGTCTGGCCAGTTAACACTGCCGTTATCAGAATGCTGAGGCCGTATTTACTGTAATCCAGGCAGTAACGGAGTGGTTTAAGAGTATTGACTTACTTAATACCCGAAACAACACTTCAAGGCAGCCACTGTGCATCAGTTCTGTTTTCCCCACAAGGAAATAGTCAGGAAAGAGCCAAATTAGAGAGCTGAAACGACACAGTTTATCTAAATCACCCGGGAGACAGAAGTGGCCTGTTCTCGCTCTGCAGTGTGCTATTCTTAGAGACTAAGGGGTGGCCTCCAGGGGACGGTGGGATCTTGGAGGTTCCCACCCGGACTAAAGGGAAACTGACCAGCTCTCACTGCTTAAAATCTCAGGGCTAACCTACACCTTTGAGGATTTGCTTTTTAAAATTATGTGTGCATGTGTCTGTGTGTGGGTAAGGGCATGTGGACACTGGTGCCCAGGGAGACCAGAGGTGTCAGGTCCCCTGGGGATGGAGTTACGAGCGGCGTGGGCCACCTGACATGGTGCTGGCAACCAAAGTCAGGCCCTCTGCCAGAGCGATACATGCTTTTAATAGAGCCCAGCCATGGCTCCAGAACAGCTAACCTACACCTTTAAAAGGAGCGCATGGGGCTGGGGAGATGGCTCGGTGGATAAAGCAGATAAAGCGCTTATGGGGCAAGTGTGAGACCAGAGGTTACAACCCCACAGCCTACATAACTGAGGGTGTGGTCAGGGTAAGGGGCAGAATCCCGGGGCAAGCTCACCATGTAGGCTAGCCAGAGAGCTCCAGGTTCAGCGAGAGACCCCGCCTCAGTAAGAAAAGTGGACAGGCTGGATGAAGACACCAGATATGACTCTCTGGCTCTATGTACAAACATACAGGCATGCATTATCTCACAGGAGCATGTGAACAGGTACACACACACACGCACCCACACCCACACACAGCCTCACAAAGGCTGCCCAAAGGCTTTCTTTTTAAAAGTTTTTTTTTTAAATAAAAGATTTATCCTTTTGATTTTATGTGTGTGGATGTCTGCCTGCGTGTGTGTGCAGCAGATGTGTGCTTGGTGTTCACAGAGACGAGAAGAGGGCACAGAATCTCCTGGAACTGGAGTTACAGATGGTTCCCTTGACTCCTATCCAGTGCTCAGGTCTCTAGTTGCCCTTGAGGTATGGAAGAGGTCCCAAGTGGTAGCTCGACATTGCCTATACCACAGGACCATCTTCGGATCTCCCCTGGCCAGAAGAAGACATTCTGAATTTTACTTGCATCATCCTACTGAACATTCAACAGTTGGATGAAAGGCGTGCGCCACCAACGCCCGGCACATCTGTGCCTCTTAAGGACTAGGATTACCTGCATGTACCACCATGCCAACTCCAGCAAACTTTTGATGGTCCTATCATACCTTTGAGGAAGGACATGATCTTACACCCAGAAAGTGTGGGGCCCATGACCAGGTGACTGAGCACTTGGCTTAAGAACCCATGTTTCTTACATTTATGTGTCTCCCTGTGTTTGTGCCCCGAGTATGAGTATTCTCAGGGGCAGGAAGAGGGTGGCAGATCCCCTGACGCTAGTTCCAGGTGGTTGTGAGCTGCTCGACATGGGGGCTGGGAACTAAACTTGGCTCTTCTGGAAGAGCAGCAAACTGCCAACTGCTGAGTCCCTGGCTCCCAGTTCTTAATCGCTCTGTCTCCTATTGGAGAGTGAGAATGACAGAGGTGGCCGTTCTAGAGAGCCCCTCAATGGGGTCTTTGGTGTCATCTCTGTCCACTGGGCACAGACAGGCAGAGCTTGAGGACTGGCTCTTGCTGGGCCCTTGGGCTCAGTAGCCGCAGGCAGAGGAAAATTTGTCTTTGACCATGGATAGTGAGCATGAGATGGGCTCGCCTGTTCCATACGTCTGTGTGCTTTGGAGTCTGTCTTATGTCAGTGTGTACTTGTAGTCACATGGCTGTCTGCACATGTATGCATACAGGGCTTCTGTGTATGCAATGGAAAAAAAAGAGACCTTGTTCCCCAAATTTATACCCTGTGAAACTGAGAAAAAGAACAAGAATTCAAACTTGACCCCCCCAAATAGTAATTTGTGTTAGCTCCATGTCTACACAGTAACATAGATGATTCTAGGATGTTGAATGTAAGTCACCATTGCCCAATGGTGGGGATGGATTATACAAATAATTTTACATATCTGCCCACCACCTTCCTATTTTACATATTTCCTATGGGCTTGTATATATGACTACAGTACAGGTGTTGAGAAAGGTCGAGAAGAAATACTCCATTTGTAGATGGTGATTATCTTTAAGGAGCAGGAGAGCAGGACTTGGAATACGTCTGAGAGGAAGGAGGACAACCCCTTGTACTGGCTTGCTGCAAGATGTTTCATCACGGAACTCTCCAGACTCTCACCCAGGGATCACACCAGACTGAGGTGCTCCAAGACCCTCGCTGATGGAGATTTCTTTTGAGTGGGAAAAACGGCAGCTTCTTCTCTAAACTCTTTGCCTCAGTTTCCTTCTCTATGGTCTGATCTCTGTCCCTCATGTCCTGTGATCAGCACATCTAGACCATGTGACATTCTCTAGACACTAACTTTTGCTCAAAATCCCGGAATGGTGACAGCGTAGGTTGGGACCTGGATCTGGGTTCTTCCCCAGTACTACCTCTTACATCGGTGTGCCCCAGAGTTGGCTGGCCTGGCAGAGGAGACCACAATCAGGCTCTAGGGTCAGATGCCTGGACTCAGATGTGCAAGCAGCACCTTGTCTCTGGGATCCTTGCAGGAGTGCGCGCCCCACCCCCCATCCTTGGGAGAGCCCTCCTGAAGGGTTTACTTGGCGACCTGGGATGCGCTCTAGTTTTTGCTGTTGTCACCTCTTGAACTACAGCTCGCCCCGCCCATTCCGCGTGAGGACTTGACCACAGCCCTTCCCTCCAGCTGCGACACGAGTGTGACCCTCTCTGGGTCTCTCCCCGATGCGCTCAGCGAATCTTCCCCCCTGTTCTCCCCGCGTCCCCAGCGGGTCCAGTCCCACTCTCTCCTCAGTGGCGAGTTTGGTGGCGGCCAGACACCCCAACGCCCTCCCGTGGGAAACTGAGGCTGGGTGGCCGAGACTCTCGGCAGTTGTCAGGGGCCGGACTGAGGTCACTGCCCCGGTGCGAGCGCGCGCGGAGGGTCGCTGTCATACCTGCTTAGGCTGGGGCTCGAGTCTGCGGTGATGGCAGCTAAGGTGGTGGCGTCGGAGTGGCTGTGGCGCTGGGTCACCTGTAGAGCCTGGGCGCTGTAGGCGGAGGGAGCGAGTGCAGAGGGCGGGGACCGACCGGGAGCGCCCGCGCCCGCGGGTGGAGCCTGCCTGCCTAGGTGAGTTAGCCTGGCTAGTTGCATCGCCAAGCTCCCTAGCCGCCTGGTCCCACTTCACAGGCTGCAGGCTCGCATCCTCTGTAGTCCCCACAGGACACTTCTCACCTTTTAGTCCCATTCTCTAAACACCTCGGGGACTCCATATCCTACCCAGGTGCAGAAATCCCTTCCTCCCTGTCTCCCCATTCTGTAACCATCACACACCACGTACACAAACTCTCCATCCTGCCCAACTCCTCACCTCGCTGGAGCACATCACAGGCACCATGACAAGTCACTTGCTGTAGCCTTATTCTAATGGTGCTGAGATTTTCTGGCACAAATTGGGGGCTTCAGGAAAGCTCTCGCTCTTGGTCTTCCCAGAGACCTGCACCTTACTGGTCTTGGGATATAACTTCCACCTCTGCAGTAGATAAGGTCGGGCTCTCTAGAGGTCTGGATCGCTGCTGGCTTGGTCCCAGGGAGCCCACCTACCACACTTGTGGTGTAGCCTCAAGGAATCCCTGTTGCTCCCGTGCTAGGGGCTGAAACATGGTTTGCTCCTTCCAAGTTGAAGTTGAACTTCCATTTGGAGAGGAAAAGAGGTGGCATTTTAAGACGTGACTAGGAGTCTCCTCTGAGGAGTGGGATAGCCCATCTACTTGGTTAACAGACGAACTCATCCATTTGGTCAGCGGATCAATGGTCATCTCTGGACCGGGTGTGCCTTTGTAGCCAGTTTGACTAGGTCTCCCAGGAGCACCCAACTTACAGCACTGCTCTGGGACTCTGCCAACAAGGAGGGCATCACCAGGGGCAGGGCCTGGTGACCTTGGTCTAGAGCTGGAAGCCAAAACAAACTTTTCTTTTAGATTTCCCCAGCACTGTGGCATTTGCAACAGAGAGCAGAGTAAGGACACTCGCCTCAGGGACTCCTCAGTGCCTTCCCTTCACTAGGCCTCCTCCCCCCCGGTCAAAGTCACCCTTGTGTCTGTTCAACTCCTTTCGCTCCAGTAACTATACTGTTTTATTTGCGGTGTATCTTTCCATGGATGCTCCTGATACAGGAGCTCTTGCATTAGAAGCATTTATTATTATACTTCTAAAAACTATTAAGATTCCAGACTTTTTATTTACATGGATGTCTTAGTTTGCTTTCTTTCTTTTTCTTTTTCCATTTTCTTTTTGGAGACAGGGTTTCTCTATAGCTTTGGAACCTGTCCTGGAACTAGTTCTTGTAGACCAGGCTGGCCTCGAACTCACAGAGATCCGCCTGCCTCTGCCTCCCGAGTGCTGGGATTAAAGGACAGTGCATCCATCCACTGCCTGGCCTTAGTTTGCTTTCTATTGCTATGATAAACACCATGACTAAATCCAACTTGGGCAACAAAACATTTATTTCATTTTACACATTCCAGTTCATTGCAAAGGAAGCCAAGGTAGGATTTCAGGGCAGGAATCTGGAAGCAAGAACTGAAGCAGAAACCATGGTGGAACAATGTTTACTGACTTGTGTTCCAAGGCTGGCTCAGCCTGCTTTCTTATACAACCCAGAACCACCTGCCAGGGGGGTAGTAGCTCCCACAGTGGGCTGGGCCCTCCCACATAAATTATTACTCAAGGATGCCCACAGACTGCCTACAGGCCAATCTGATGGAGACATTTTCTCAGTTGAGGTTCCCTCTTCCTAGAAGACCTGAGCTTGTGTTGACAACAAACCAAGCAGAACTAAGCTACTGCTGCTTTCTAGATGAGAAAGGAACACACAGCGGGGCTGCCGTGACACTCCTTCAATCTTAGCACTTGGAAGGAGAGGCAGAGAGACCCTAAGTCTGAGGTTAGTCTGGGCTACATGGTGAGAATTAGGCCCTCTTGGGCTACAGTGAGACCTTGTGAAAACAAGCAAGCAAGCAACAATGGTGGCGTGGCTCTGGGGGTGAAGCGCTTGCTGTGCAATCAGGAGGAGCTGAGTTCAGATCCCCAGCACTCCTGTCAGCAGTATGGTGGCATGTGCCTGTAATCTCAGCACAGGTGGATCCTGGGGGCTCCGTGGCTAGCCAGGCCAACCGAAACAGCAAGTGCCCGATTCAGCGAGAGACTCTGTCTCAAAAAAGAAGGTGGTGAATGATAAGGGAGTTACATGAAATAGACACCTGAAGTCTACCTCTGTTTTCCAGACATGCATGCCCAGTCAAGCACACTAGCATGCTCGTTCCTGTATACACACACACACACACACACACACACGAACCTTTTCTCCCCAACAGAATAAAATAAAAATATTTCCAAAGTCACCACACAGACACAAATCCTTTATGCTCCAACGTAAGTAAAATGCTTTGACAAAACCTATCTCTCTGGGATGAAAACTTTTAGGAGGGCGCTGTTAACACTTCTTTGTATCTCCTTGATGCCTGGTTTCCTAATAGGCCCCTGGACCATCCCGTGTGCTTCTGCATCCTGTCCGTTGCCCCATGCTCTTCCAGTGGAAGACAATGAAGGAATCCCAGTTTCAAATAACTTGGCATGCTGTAAAGATGCCCTGTCCTCATGGACATGGTGGCACATGCCTTTAATCCCAGCACTCCAGAGGCCAAACTCTGTGAGTTCCAGGCCGGCTTGGTCTACAGAATTAGTTTCAGGACAGCCAAGACAGAGTGAAACTTGTCTCAACCCACACATCCTTCCCCAAAAGATGGCCTGTCCCTATCTGAAACTGACACTGGATATGAAGCCTCATTGTGAGGTGTGGACAGGATGCTGCTCCAACATCTTAACCCAACCACGGCATTTAGAGGTGGGGCCTTTGGGAGGTGATTAGCTCTAAGTCATCAGGGTGGAGGCCCATGATTGAGTGCCGTTGGCTTTATGAGGAGAAAGGGCTGGTCTTGGTGGTGCGGACCTGTAATCCTGACATCCCGGAGTTGAGGAAACAAGAGTATGAGTTTGAGGTCTGCCTGGGCAAAAGTGAGATCCTGTCTCAAAAGCAAGAAAACCAGCCTGAATATCTAGACACACAGAGGCTGCCCCTTTCTTTGCTGTGACATCTTGGATCACCTTGGGACTCTGCCAGCAAGTAGGCCAGTTGCAGCTCCTTGAGCCTGGTCTAGAATTGTGTAATAGTGACAGAAAACAGATAAAGACCCTTACCATTGCTTTTGCACTTGGATTTAAAATTGTATTTATTTATGCATTTGTACATTTATGTATTCTTTCATTGATTTATTTTGTGTGTGTATGCATTGAGTGTATATGCAAGCATGCACACGTAGAGGTCATGGGACAACTTGCAGGACCTATTCTCTCCTTCCACCATGAGGGTCCTGGGTATCGAACTCTTGTCATTAGCCTGGGTGTCAAGCACTTTCACTGACTTCAGTGACCATTTGCCAGCTCTGCTTTTTTTTAAAAAAATATTTATTTATTTATTATGTATACAATATTCTTTCTGCGTGTATGCCTGAAGGCCGGAAGAGGGCACCAGACCTCATTACAGATGGTTGTGAGCCACCATGTGGTTGCTGGGAATTGAACTCAGGACCTTTGGAAGAGCAGGCAATGCTCTTAACCACTGAGCCATCTCTCCAGCCCCCCCCCAGCTCTGCTTTTGCATGTTGAATATAACCATTAGCTTGGTGGAAAAGACAATGTCCTGGTATTGCTATGAAAGTGAATTTGGATTTTTTATTCCTTTTGAAAGGGTCTTCAAAAACTGCTGCTCTAGCCCCTTCGGGTGAAAATGGTCGATAGTTAGCAATTATCTGCCTGCAGACATGGCTAATTCAGATGGGTCAACCCAATGTGTGTTAATGGAGAGGACTTTCCTCTTGGCTGGGCTGTAGATGTTAACAGAACTGGCTCCCTGTGGGCCTGGGCTGCTGGGATCATCTTTGTCCAACTGACATTTCCTTTTGTGACATGGTTTCTAATGAGGGGAGATGGAGTTTGGAGGTGTCAACGAATGCCAGATTGCCTGAGGGCAGGTTGATGTTTGTGTGTGTGTGTGTGTGTTTGTCTGTGTATGATCATGCAGGTGCACATGTGTACATATATGTATGGAAGCCAGAGATTGACATGAGGCATCTTCTATCTTCACCCTAGTTTTTGAAACAGGTCTCTCACTGAACCTGGGGGTCTACTGATTGGACTTGTTGGCTACAGAAACCTCTGTGGATTCCCCCCTGTGCTGCTATCTTTCTATCTATCTATCTATCTATCTATCTATCTATCTATCTATCTATCCATCTCTATCTATCTATCTATCATCTATCTCTCTCTATCTATCTATCTATCTATCTATCTATCTATCTATCCATCTCTATCTATCTATCATCTATATCTATCTATCTATCTATCTATCTACCTATGTATCTATGCTAAGATATATTGATTGTTGATCTGATGCTAGCTAGGGTCATTTGAGGAAGTGGGAACCTCGATTGAGAAAATGCCTTCATCCAATTGGCCTGTAGGCGAGCCTATGGAGGTGTCTTAGTTTGGGTTTTATTGATGTGAAGAGAAGTCTTGGCCATGTTAACTCTTATAAAAGAAAACATTTGAGGGTGGCTACAGTTTAGAGGTTTAGTCCTTTATGGTGGGAAGCATGGTGAATGCAGGCAGACATGGTTTTCGAGAAGGATCTGAGAGTTCAACATCTTGATCCATAGGCAGTAGGAAGAGACTGAGCCACTAAGCCTGGCTTGAGTTTCCTGAGACCTCAAGGCTGGCCCTAAGTGATACACTTCCTCCAACAAGGCCACACCCACTCCAGCAAGGCCACACCGCCTAATAGTGCCACTCCCTCTAAGCTTATGGGAACCATTTTCTTTCAACCACAGGAGGCATTTTCTTGTTTTGTCATCTATCTGAGAGGGCCCATCCACTGTAGGCAGTGCATCCCTAAGCAGGGGGTTTTGGGTAGGATAAGGAAACAGGCTGAATGTGATCCTGGAGAGCAAGACAGCAAACATTGTTCTCTGTGCTCTCTGTTTCCATTCCTGCATCCAGGTTGTACTGGAGCTCCTGTCTGGCTTCCTGCCATGATGGACCCTAACTTGTAAGGTGTAATAAACCCTTTGGTTCTCCAAGTCAGTTCTTATTATGGTGTTAACTACCAGAAAGCAGGCGAGGACGCCCACCTGTGTCCACATCCCCAGTGCTGGAGCTACGGATGCAGACTGTCACGCGTGCATCTTACATAGATGCCGGGGACCCAAACTCAAGTCTTCATGCTCCCATGATGGCCACTTTGCTGACTTGGCCCTCTCTCTAGTTACCTAGACTGACTGACATTTGTTGTTGCTGTTTTTTTTTTTTTTTTTTTTTTGAGACAGGGTCTCTTGCAGCCCAGGCTGACCTCAAAACTATTAGTATCGAGGCTGCCTTTGAACTACTGATCCTCTTACCTCCACTTCTCCAGTGCCCAGCAAGCCTGATCAATTTTAAGGCTGTGATTTAACCACAGTGAACAAAGAGCGCTGTGTTCTCAAAGGCAGCTTAGGCAAACCTGCTTCCCTCCATTTTTTCTTTATTTGATAGAGATGTTGCTCCGAGGACAGAGAACACCCACATAGATTGTGGCCACGTCTGTATGTCTATGCTTCTATTGGCCAGTTTTTGTTTGTTTAGAATATCTTTTTTCCCTCTAGAGGAATGTATGTGGGCTGAATTATGGCGTGACTTCATTTTTGGATGGATCCATGACAGGTCC